CCCGCCCCGCCCCCGGTCCTGCGCAGGCCCGCCAGAAGGCTCCCGGCGCCCCGCCAGCAATGGTGAACCTAGGCCTGTCCCGGGTGGACGACGCCGTGGCCAACAAGCACCCGGTGAGGAGGCCGGCCTGGGACGCGAGCCGCGGAATACAGAAGCTGACTTGAGCGGGGCGGGGGCCTCGGTGGGAGTGCCGTCATTAGGGCAGGGGGCATAGAGTGGGGATCCTCTTGTGACGGAGATGGCCTCACGATGAGTGTGGTCCCCTCCCCCACGGCCGAGTGTGCCCAGAGGAGGGACAGGAGGGACGGGTAACAGCCTTCAACCCTTCCCCCATCCCAGGGACTGGGGGAGTATGCCGCGTGCCAGTCGAACGCCTTCGTGAAGGGCATTTTCACCTTTGTCACAGGTAGGCTGGGTCAGGTGTCCTGGGGTGTGAAGAGGCCTCACCCTCCTGTTTCACCCTGACTGCCCAGCTGGTGGCGCCAGGTCGCCAGCCTGCAGGTGCCGGGAGCCTGGCAGGTGCTGCGGGCACTCAGGCTGCGCCCAGGGGGTCCTCTGGCCAGCCCCGATGAGGGGCTGGCTGATGGGGACCATGGCTCTTGGCAGGCACCGGCGCGACCTTCGGCCTGCAGCTGCTCGTTCAGAGGAAGTGTGCATACCCCTTTCAGTGGAACGTGCTGGTAGCCGTGGGTGGGTACTCCAGGGCTGGTGCTGGGAGCCCTGAAATGCACTCCAGTTGCTGCTGGCTCTTCAGCAGAAGTGGGTTCCCACTAGGGTGAGGGGTGGGGGCTGTGGTTCTGGGAGTCTCTGCCTCCTGGGATGGGGCTCCAGTTGTCAGTAGGAACCCTGCTGGACCCCCCACCACCACCTCTGCCCAGAAGCCTATGCCCAGGGTCCCTTTCCCTGAGAAGTACGGAGGCTCGGGTGCCCCCCGCCCACTGGCCCCTGCCCTCCCCCCACCAGTCACAGGCTCAGTGGCCAGCTACTGGGTAACCAGAGTGGAGACACAAAAATGCAGCAACCTCTGGCTCTTCCTGGAGACCGGGCAGCTCCCCAAAGACATGGGTACAGGTGAGAGTCCTGGGGATAGTGGGAAGTGGAACCGAAGCTGCAGTGCCCAGAGTTTTAGGCAGGCAAGCCTGGGCCCGAGGCCTGTCCTCATGACATGGGGATGGAGGTGGGGCGGGAGGGAGAGGGCCCGTAGCAGATAGACTTTCCAGAGCCCTGCGTGCAGGAGGAAGACTCAGGTGGGGTTGGGTGGCCCTGGAATGGGGAGTGCAGAGTGAGGAATGTGGGTACCCCAAGAAGAGTGGCCAGATTAAGAGGCCCTGCTTCAGACACCAAGCTGATTGATCTCAGGCCTGACCTCCACTGCCTGCATCCTTCTTGTTCCAGGCCTCAGTTTTTTCCCCAGTAAAATGGGCATAGGAACCGGGAGCAGATTTGGGGTGTGGTTCAAGCTATCTCCCTTTGCCTCTTACAGGTCAGCACAAATAGGAGTGCTACATCCGGGGCACAGAAGACCTGGGGCTGGAGGGTTCTAGAACACAGCCCTCAGGGCGTCTGCACTCCAGGCGGGCCCTCCCTCCACCAAGTGTCCCCTGCACACGTACATGGCCAGGTCTGTCAAAGCTGGGCCGGCTGCTTCTGCCCAGCCTGAGCAGCCCAGGAGGTCAGACCAGGAGGCACTGTCCAGCGAGAAACATGGCGGGCACAGAGCGGTAGAGGATCGGGCCTGGCTCATGCGGACTTGGCGGCAGCAGTTCTGGGGCATGTGTTCGAGGGGACTTCTGCACCCACTGCTGCCCACACTCCCTTTCTGGCCCCTGTGTGCCCCTCAGTCCAATGTGACAGCTGCTGCTGGGGTTTGTGGGGCTAATAAATGCCTTGCCCTTTTCCCTGAGTTCTGAAGCATTTGGGAAATGAGTCAGAGCCTTAAGATAAGAGATAAAGGTCAGCTCAGTACCATATTGCTGATTGGAGGAGGTGCCAGGGCAGTTCCTCACCGGGAACCCCCAGAATTAGACACCCCTGTGGGACCACTGAGGCCTCTCCATAGGGGGGTCTGCGGCACAACTTGGCATGGAGGAGCAGATCAGACGCTGCGCAGCCAGTCAGCACCTGGCTCTTGGGGGACGAGGGACAGGAAGTGGCTGTGCCCACCTGCCTATCATTCTAAACACATCTCTCGGACTAAATTTCTTCTCTCCAGGGAAGGAGAAAGTGAGGGCTGGAGGGGGCCAGAGCCAGCTTACTGGAGCTCTGTCCTCATGGAGAAAGGCTCCTGAGTGGGCAAGGCCGCCTAGCTCACCCACCCCCACCAGAGGAAAAGGCGGAGATGATATAAAACCTGGGCGAACCTTCGTCCTCTACAGTGGGCTTCCAGTAGCGCTGAAGGCACACAGCCCAGGGCCACACCGCTCCAGCCCCGGCTCGGCCCCTGCTCTTCTCAGCCTAGGCAGTCATCAAGTGAACGTTTCCTGGGCATCTGCTGTGCGCCAGGGAGTCTGTTCATGGGAAGACAAAATGACGTGATGCCCAAGATAACCGTGGCATAAGCAAGCTAGAGCCTTAGTTTTCTTTCATGTAAAAGTCCAAGTGGGTGGTCTAGGGCTAACAGGGAGCCAGGGACCTGGGCTCCTCTTAGTCTGCCCCCTGCTGTAACGGCCTCCATTCCAAATCCACCTTGTGGTCCCAGGGCAGCTTTGCCGGCTCCAAACATTGCGTCTCCATCCCTGTCAATGGGAAGGAGGAGGGGAGTGGAGGAGAGCAGCTAACTCACCACTTCCACTTCTACGCTGCTGGCGAGACTCAGTCACGCGGTACTCCTAGTGCAAAGGCACCTAGAAGAGCAGCCTTGCTCTGGGCAGCCGTGCGCCCCACTAGAATTCAGGGGTTCTGTATCTGAGGAAAGGAGAACCAGTATTAGACAGCTCGGCCTCACGCCCTGGGAGAACGGAGCTGGGGGCAGCGAGGGAGCAGACCACGCCCACAGCAGGCCCTCTGACCCCCTGGTAAGACCCAGGCTCCGAGGGAGGGGAGGGTGAACTTGGAATTTCAGACGGGACTGGTGCTTTTTAAAGATGGACAGTGGCCAGAAAGGTAAAGGGCCAGAAAGGCACACGGGTGAAGATCATGATTATGGATGAACTGGGTTCCCCGCTCCCATATTCAGTCTGCAGCCTAACCCCCCCCCCCCCAGGTTCTCAGAATATGACTGTATTTAGGGACTGGGCCTTTGAAGGGGTGGCTGAGTTAGAATGACGGTGGCCCTGACCAGTCTGACTCGTGTGCTTACGAGAGGAGATCAGGACAGACGTAGCGAGGAAAGGCCCATGAGGACACAGGGAGCAGCAGCCATCTACAAGCCCAGGGAGAGGCCCCTGGACAAACCAGCCTGCTGACCCTTGACTTCAGACTCCCAGCCTCCAGGGTTGAGTGAGCGCACAGCTCTGCTGTTTAAGCTGCCAGTCTGTGGTGCTTTGTTATGCGAGTTGGAAAGAGTAACCCATCCAGAGTGCACCCCCAGAATGCAAGCTGGCCAAGGCTTGGGCCACAGGGCTGTAAGGGAAACCTGAGCTGGGGTTGCAGAGGGAGGGGACTGACCCCTCCCGGAGTAAGTGACATCTAAAGCTAGACCCAGGAATTCCCCAGGGAAGTGGAGATGGAGCAGGTATGGTCAGGAGGAGATGGGGGAGTGAGGGCTGAGGCTGGGGGGGGTCTCGTGACCCCTAGGTCACCAGGGTGTGGAGTTTGAAGCTAGGCTGTGGCAGGGCGATGGAGACCCCACAGGCAGTGAGAGGTCAGAGGTCTTAGGCAGCCCAGTGGAGGACAGCCTGGGAGTATGGAGGAGGGGAGGGTGCAGGGGGGCTGGTGTGGGGTGCAGTGTCAAACCACCACAAATCACCTTCCTTGACCAAGGCAGTGCTCCTGAGCAGAGAGCAGCCACAAGGCTCAAGCGTCCAGGGGATGACCCCGAGGCTGGCTGGGGCCAGAGGGTGGGGTTGTCAGCATGGGCTGGGAATTCTTGGGTTCCCTGGGCATGCGGAACCTTGGCCCCCATCACAATGGGCCGAGATTCCGGGGACAATCTGAACTGCGGTTCTGCTGAGCAGGCCCAGCATAGAGGGTGGGAGGTGCAGAGGGCTCCTGGAGGACCCCGAGGGCCACCATGAAGGTTCCCAGTGAGGCGGATACAGAGGAGCAGATCCAGGAGCTGAAGACCATCACTCGGCTCCAGGGTGAGGCTGTCGCTAGGGTGGCCCAGGGTGCTCAGGGGCTCCTGGGTGCAGGACTTTCAGTCTTAACACAGGGACAGTCCAGGGCATCTGGGCTAGTGGCCACTCTACTGCTCAAACCCAAACATAGCTGGGGAAGGAATCAAAGAGGATGGGCACGCATTGGGCAGGGAGAGAGGAGAAGCTGGGGGCTTCCAGATTTGTGAGCTTAGTGGACCCAAAGCCAGGGGGACAGGAGGGGAGCCACCTGCTTCCACGGCAGGAGGGCCTGGAAGGGGTTGCTGGACTGCCTGTCCCTGGCCTCTGCCCCGCCCTCCCACTGCCCAGCACTGCCGTCCACTGAGAGCCGTCCAGATGTGCACTGCTGGGCAGTGAAGCCTGGTGGGGATACAGGGTAGGAGGAAGGAGCATGGCCCCGGAGGCAGCAAGTTCATGCCCCCACCTTGGGCCTCCTGGATGCCCAGCCTCCTCCCACCGGGGAACTGCGGCCAGGACCCCGGCCCACATCCTGGGTGTCCTGGCCCTCCACCCACCCACAGAGCAATGTCGGGCACTGCAGATCCAGGCGATGAAGGAGAAGACTGTCAAGAACAAGGCGACGCTGGCTCTCCTGCGCGGCAACATCCGCCGCGGGGCCCAAGACTGGGCTTTGGCCAAGAAGGTGAACAACGGCGCCCCCTGCCTGCTGCCTCTTGGGGCCGGGCGCGCGCGCGCGCGCGCACACACACACGTAGACAGCGGGCACCTCCTCTCCTTTCTCCACTTTCTGAAGCCGCGGGGTGGGAGAGACAGTCTCCCCACCCCCACGTCAGAGGGCAGGGCCAGGTGCCCGACTGGGGTCCCTTTCCCGGGGTACCCCTGCTGCAGCCATGCAGGGGACACAGGGACCCTCTTCTCCGGACCCCCATCACATCCGAGCAGGGGTGGCCCAGATGCAGTCCTGTAGCGCTCTGCCTCTTGTGGCCCCAGGAGCTGGGGTCTTGCTGCTGGGCTAGCACAGGGCAGCAGAAGCCCGAGGAGAATGCCTGGAGGGGCTGGCGGCCTGGGGGAGGCAGAGGGGCCGGGCCCCCAGCTCAGCAGCTGCGCTCCGCAGTACGACCAGCGGACCATCTCCCAGGCCTGCGGGAAGGACGTGCCCATGAGGCTGGGGCACAGCCGCTGCACCATGGAGGTAAGGCAGCAGGAGGGACCCCTCAGCTCCACTTGGCCAGTGCACCCCCAACTGCGTTGTGGAGCCGGTGGGGAGCAGAGCGAGTTCCCAGCGCCAGGGTCCCTGTGGGGTCGCCACAGTTCCCTCCCCGTCCACCTGGCTCCAGAAGGGGTCCATGGCCCCCACGCACCCACGCGTGGACCGTGCCCTCCGCGACCCAGGTGGCACGGGAGAAACTGCGCAAGTACGTCTTCGACCGCGTGAATGTGCACAACGTGCTGATCCACCTGGTGCGGAGGCGCGGAGAGAAGCTGGAGAGCATGCAGCTGGAGCTGGCCAGCCTGCAGAGCCAGCCCGACGCCACTAAGGAGGAGCTGCGCATGCTGCAGGTGCCGGCGGGGAGCGGGGCGGGGCCCTGGAGAGGCAGGGCTCGGAGGTGGGGCCCTGGTGGGCGGGGCTCCGCGGGAGGGGCGGGGCCCCCCAAGAAAACCCAGCCCCGTCCCCGCCGGCCTCGCCTCCAGGTGGCCTGTCTCCAAGCACTCTCAATGTGCCCTCCCGCCACCCCCAGGTCATCCGCCAGCTGGAGAACAACATAGAAAAGACAATGGTCAAGATCACCACGAGCCAGAACGTCCAGCTGCTGTACGTGGACCTGCTGGATCACCTGAAAAGAGTGAGCCCCCGCATCCCGCCGCGAAGAGCTGCACGCCGGCCCCAGGGAGGTCGGCTGGCTGGGAGGGCTGGGACTCTCAGGCCCCCGCCTGTGCGCAAAGCTGGGCTCTCACCGGCGGCAGGGCCCTGCGGGGCAGGCCGACCCCGTGCATCTCTCCTCCAGGCCAGGTGACCCCTAGAGAGACAGATCCCTACTCTGGGCGCCAGCTCAGCAGCGGCGTCTTGTAGGTGGGAAGCATTCTCTCAAGAACTTGTTATTTGCTGCTCCAACAAGGCATATCATGTGCTACATCAGAATTGTCTGGGTTTTCTTGCATGTATTTGAAGGTTTAGTGTTGTTCTTACTCTGCCCCATCCTTTTTCACTGGCTGGCTTCTAGGGGCAGGAGCTGGGTCCTGCACCCTCAAAAAGTCCCTAACATCTTCCAGAGCAAGCCGCCTCTGAGCAGACCAGTAACCATGGATTGTTGCCCACTTCTTCCAAGCCAGCCACCCTGCTCCCTGCAGAAGAGGCCAGGGGAGGCCCCCAGGGGCTGTGAGCCCTGGTGTGGGGGGAGACCCCTTCACTGGAGGCCCCCCCGGGCCCCCACACAGCAGAGCATAGGCACCTGCCACAGGCCAGGTGCCAGTGGATAGAGAGGACAGGCGGACAGGAGGGCTGGAGAGTGGGTGCCAGGGTGCTGAGAGGGGCAGTTTGGCGGGGGGGCAAGGAGAGTGAGGAAAGCCCCTCAGACTCCTTCCCGAGGCTGGGGGAGGGGGAGCCCTGGAGAGGCGAATGGGCACACAGCTCTTCCCAGCTGGGGTCACGTCCCCCAAATCCTGCCTGCAGCCCCATGAGCACACAGCCTCCTCCTCCAGGCTGCCCCTCTTGCCTTGAAACCCTGGTCCTGAAAGCTCACCCAGCAGCCCTGCCCACCTCTCCTTCCTGGGCCCACTCCTTCTCAGAACTTTCCCACTCCAACTGCACTCTGGGCTCCAGCCCGTCTCTCACATGGATGCATTATGTTCCCCCCGTGGTAGCATCTTATCTTTTCAGAACATATGCTTAAAAAAATAACTCCTGTGGTCATCTGCGTTTAAAAAAACAGTGAAAATTCTAGTTGTAGATATTAACAACATAGTGCCAACAGCCAAGATATCATGGACATTTATGAACCTGACCATATGCTAAATACATGATTATACCTTCTAAATCCATCCTGAGAGCAACCTTCTGAAAGAGTCATTATTACCGTTTTACACTTGGGGAAACTCAGAGAGGTTAAGTGGCTTTCCCAAGGTCCCACAGCTAGCTGGTCAGGTCAGCCTTGGTCTTGAGCCCTGAGTCTCTGACCCCTCTGCTTCACTTCCAATAGCAGCCAGCCTCCTTGGATTTCAGTGTCACCTCTGACACAGTGGGACATCCTATCACCACTTCTTCAGAAGTGTCTCTGGGCTCTGACCCTGGGCAGTGAGAATCCACCAGGAAAATGCTGTCTTCCCTCCCAAAACACTTCCTTTCATCAGTTCTGTGCCCGGCTGGGGCCAGAGGCCATACTTGTCCCCTGGGCTTGCACAGTTTAGTCTAGGGTGAGGGGTAGGGAGTAGGTGTGGTCTACTCTGCAGGGGTGAGAACTGGGGAGGGGCGAGAGAAGCCCACCAGCCCTTTCCCCTCTGACACAGAAGCTGGCAGGATACCCCACAGAGCTGGACAAGCTGCACAATCTCGTGGGTGACTACTGCTCAGAACTGTCAGATATGACAGTCATGTCCCAAGATGCCATGATGATTACAGATGAGGTCAAGGTGAGCTCAGGTCCCAGGACTGGGGGGCCCTGCAAGGGCTATCTCTCAATCCTGTCTGGCCCAGTGTCCACTGGGACACCCCCATCCCCACACCACCTGAACTTACTGGAGGAATCCAGCCACTGCCACGCCAGTCTGCTCTGCTCACACCATAAACCTGGACAGAGGGGGTCCTGCCAGGCACAGAAGCCGTGAGGTAGACATAGGAGGCAGAGAATTAGCCTGGTCCAAGCAGGCTCTGGAGGTTGGGGGTTGGACAGCACAGTCTTGGGAGGTAACAGAGCCAGATGGAGGTGAGAGCCCGTGTGGGCCCACAGGTGGTGGGGCTGAGATGTAGCTCCCTAACCTGGAGCCCTGGGAGGAGATGGAGGGGAGGTGGAATCAGATTCGTGCTCCCAAATGGGTGCACTCTGGCTGCAAGACACCTCTGTGGGGCATGTCCCAGATGGTCCCTGACCTGCGGCTGCTGCCTGAGTGACCCCAGGTGGAGGAGTGTAACAGAAGGGAAGGCACCACAGCGGAAAGCAAGGGGGATGGTGAAGGCACCACGGCCAGGCGGAAAGCAAGGGGGATGGTGAACGCGGCAGGCGGTGCGGTTTAGGAAGAAGGGCATGGCCAACAATGCTCTTCCCAAACCCAGGAAGATGAGGATGAATGTGACACTGGATTAGCACCCCGGGGGGCCTTCGTGGGACAGCCCCCACCCCTTTCCTGTGTCCCCAGATGAACATGAGGCAAGGGGAGGCCACCTTTATTGAAGAGCGCCGGGCGCGGGAGAACCGGCTGAACCAGCAGAAGAAGCTGATTGACAAGATTCACACCAAGGAGACCAGCGAGAAGTACCTCTGGGTGAGGCGGGCTGCGGGGCTCAGCCCCGAGGGAAACGGGGTGCGCCCCCTGCTCACCACCTCCTCCCCCTTCCATCAGGGCCAGCGGGACTTGGACTTCCCCTCCAATCTGATGGGTCCGGAAACTCCGAAAGGTAAGCCCTCCGCTCCTGCCGCCCCAGCCAGGGTCCCGAGAGGCCAGATCACCAAGAGGCTAGGTGTAGCCTGCAGCGGCCAGGGTGAGGGACACAGGAGAGTGCCAGCAGCCACAGCGCACACTTCAAGGGCTGCTACCAGCTTTGGGCTCTCAGCCGCGCGTGGCTGACTCCCCGGCTTCTCAGCTGCAAAACGCACTTCAGTGTCCCTGGCACCCCAGGGCCTGCTATACAGTGGCCCCTCAGAAAAGATGAGTTGTGTCCCCTGGTCCCCTGCGCCACCTCTGAGAAGGGCCACTAAGCCCCGCTGGGCCAGGAGCAGCTCCTCTGTGGACAGAGCTACCTTGGGGCATCCTTCAAGGGCTGGATGAGGAGGGAGCCAGTTCAGGTTCAGGCAACTCTGATGGGATGGGTACCCAGCTCTTGGGTGGCCTCCCTTGACAACACATGGGGGCATGCAACAGCCTCGCACAAAGCCCCACACCACTCCTTTGTGCTGGCCGTTCTTCCCCTCGGCTCTGCCCAGTGAAGAGAAGAGAGACCTCCAAGGCTGATATCGAATACCAGACGGATGTGACCGCTTTGGTGGAGAAAGTCAAGACTGCTGTGCGGTGCTCCCACCTCTGGGTACTGCTCTCTGGCACTCCCAGGGTATGGGCGGAAGAGCTGGGCCAGGGTCTGCAGGCCCCTTTTGCATGAAACTGACACACAAAGTAGCGGCCCCCATAGCTCAGAGTAGAGGGCACTGCCGGGACACGGCTGGCAAACCCAAGCCACGTCCCAGGAGCTGCACAGAGCCTGTCGGAACTTGAGGATCAAACACTGAGAACATGGCCTCCACCTACCCAAACCAACAGTATCATAATGAGCAGCTGCCTCTCCACCTGACCCCCCTTTTATTTTAATCCGATCTGGGTTTATTATTAGTAAGCCTTGAGCTTCTGTCCATGGTCCTGACATAAGCTTGTCCACCTTAGACAAGTGACTTAAAGCCACACAGTGTCTCAGCGGTAGTCTCTGTCTCTTCCTTGGGGTCACTGCCCCCTCTGCCTGTCATGAGGGTTACATGCAATGCCACACATACGGAGGGCTTCACCCGATGGCTGTCCTCACAGGCCCTCAGCGCCCGGCCACAGTCAAAATTACCGACCACTAGGAAGGACCCAGAAGAACCAGTTCCCTCCTGGCTCACACCTGCTCCTCTCCCCACTGGCCCTACCAGGACATCACCGGCCGGTTCCTGGCTCAGCAGAACACGGAGGAGAACCTGGAACTGCAGATGGAGGACTGTGAGGAGAGACGGGCACAGCTGGAGGCCTTGATGAAGAAGCTGGAGGTGGAGGAGGCAATGCTGAAGTTCCACCAGATGCCCAGCTCCGTCAGGTACCCGGGAGGCCCCTGCTTCCCACCGGACTGGCACCAGGCTGGGAGCTGAGCATCCCCACTGCATGGGGCCTGAGAGTGCTCTGCAGATGGGCTGTGGAGGTGCAGCAAGGGGCCCTATGTGCCCGCATCTCAGCTCTTGAGCCCAGATTTAGCACAGCACCCAGCTCAGGACCCCGCTGCCCTGCCCTCGGCCCAACACCTCCTTCCCTCATCCTCAACAGCTTCAAGTCTGTTGAGAAGAAAATGAAGGACATGCTGAAGGAGGAGGAAGACAGGCTGCAGCAGGCCCACGCCAACATGACCAGGAGCCAGAAGCTGCTGCTGACCATCCAGACCGGCATCGACAACCTCTACATCCGCCTGATCGGCATCCCCGTGCCCACGGCCCCGGTAGCAGCCAAATGGGGAGGAGCCGCGGCACACAGGGTCCCTGGGAAGGGGCAGAGGGAGACGGTTGCTCTCTCGGCTACAGAAAGAAGCAGAGCTCTCCAACACCCTGGATGTGTACAGCAAGCTGGCGTATTGTGAGGGGAAGCTCCTGGACCTGGCTGACAGAGTGCAGATGCTATCCCTGACTGAGGAGGTAGCCCTGGGCTGGGGGCTGCCCACACATCCCACGTGCCCTTGGAGCTGACAGTCCCCGGTGCCCTGCAGGTCAGCACGAAGGTGAGGGACGCCCTGGAGTCCTCAACTCTGAAAGAGAAGCAGAACACCAGGATCAGCTTTGAGGACCTGGAGGAGGACGTCATAGGTACCGGCCAGGGAGAGCTGGGGACCAGGCTGCCCAGCAGCCGGAAGGGGTTGCGGGGTGAGGTGGCAGGTCTGAGCTGTGCAGGGGGCGGGAGGAGCGAGGGATGGCACTCACTCCGTCTGACCAGGGCAGCCAGGAGGGACAGTGGGGGCTAAAGGGATGGAGAGGGTGTGTCAGTTGTACTCACAGGATTTTAATTTATGGAAGTGACTTAGTGAGACTAGTGCTATTGAAATAATTTACCACCTCTCCTGACACAGTGGGGCACCAGTGCCAGTCCACAGGCAGGGAGGAAGACCTAGGTCAGGGCCCTTATTGGGGTCTCTGTGGGAAGGGCGAGGCAGGGCAGGGCACGCAGCTTAAGGGCCACCCGTTCAAATAATCCTGGCAGGTTTGGGGGCATCGGGGCTGTCCCCAGTTGCCTGGTACCTTTCCCCGGGTGACTGGGGCTTGGTGTGTGGGTTAGAGAGAGGTGGGTGGTCGGGGCGGACACTGGATGGGTTGGGTGAGTCCTGGGCTGTGACTCTCCCGGGTGTACGAGACCCCAAAGGCCAGAGCGTCAGGGACACGGAAAGTATGAAATACACATCGTCAGTGCGATGGCTGCGTGATGAAGGGACGCCGGTGCAGCCCAGGCTCTGGGAACCCAGACGGAGCACAGGGGCTGCGGGCGTGGCTACCCTCCCCTCGCCCTCCCTTGCAGAGACCTTCCAGTTCGCCGACGTGGACCACAGCTACGTGCCCTCGCGGGCCGAGATCAAGAGGCAGGGCCAGCGGCTGATCGAAGGGAGGCTCAAGGTGGCCAAGAAGAAGAAAAAGTGACAGGAAGAGGAGGAACCCGCCCCGCCCCCACACCCGCCCCCAGCTGGCATTGGTTACGCAAATAAACATTTTTTCAGGACTGCGGGGCACCTAGGGGAACGCAGATGTGGGGGATCACGTCGGGAACTCGTGGGTTGTTCGATGTGGATGGGCCCGGG